AAAAGGTGTACGGTGAAACACACACAAAAAAAATTCTGTTATCTTGTATTTTCCATGTTTAACTGTCTCACTCACTTTTCCCCATGTTTTGTATCCTAATCCACCTATCCCCTTCACTGTCATTGTTGTTGCGTTGGCACCATGCTTGTTTTCAAGCCGGTGGTAAATATATATATATATATATGTAACGTGTCTCCTTTCGGTCCTGATGGAATGCTTAGTAAACACCTCAGAGAGGCCAATCACTTCCAGAGATAGGACGGAAGAATGTCAAAGTATCACACAAACCACCAGATAAGCACAGCAAGTGATTGACAATTTTGCCACGAGTAGAAAGTAAAAGAAAAGAAAAAAGTCTAATTACTGGCTTCATCATAGTTTACGACGCCAACACTTCACACCTCCTTACAACTTTTTCCTGAATGCACGTTCGTAATTTTTTTGAATAGCCTGTAACGTGAATTAGATGAAGTGATTGGAAAGCGTTTTATTCATTCATGTCACGAGGTGTCTTTTTTTAACACCGTTCGAAAGGATTTCTGCATCACAACTGCTGCTCTTGCCATCAAGAATACTGATACGCTGTTGCTGGAATATTCGTCTATGGAATAATAACAGGCAGTTATGTGTTTTTCATCTGAGAGCTCTATGAACTGTTGTTTTTGCATGCGGATCGCCTCTTGCTTGAACATCACAGGTGCACCGTGAATTCACGATATTACACAGCAAGTCAATGCAACTGGTTCAACACAAACCTCGACGAAATGATGGCTTTGCTTAAAATAAGCAAGAAGTAAGTATATGGACTAATTAGTTGTTTGTTTGATTAAATGATGGAAGGAGGATCTAAGGCTGACTGAAGATACTGTAACGGAGTCCTATCGATCACCTTCAAAATTGAGAGTATGCTGCTGGACACGAGGCAGTGTTAGTTTCAAATTATTGAGTAACATTCTAAACTTGTAAACAATAAGATTTCTGCATCCAATTAGTTTTCTTCTGCGACTAATTTTGCTCACTTGCATCTAGCAATTTCAATATACTCATTTAATCCTTTTCACTTAAATCCATTAGGTCAATCGAGGGCTGCAGTCGAAGGCATTGCTTTAACTCATTTAGTTGCTTGGGTTGTGAAATTAAGCGCAAGTGAAATTGGGTAGAATGGTAAATGAGTTTTCATCTCTCTTTCTCAACTCACCAGTCCTTTAGATTCAGCTAATGTGTTCAACCACTGATCTACTTTTCCCATTTGGGAAACAGTTGCCTGTTTCTGAGACAGATTAGTCTGGCTTGGAATCACAGTCACGGCGGAGACTGGATGGGGTTCAATTTCAGCCGGACTATATCGGGAATCTTGATGATTACTAGGAAAAGTGTATATATGAGCTCGTCCCCCGTCCGATTGACCGTGATTCGACGGATTTGAATTTCGTGGCTCCAGAAGGCCGGAGCTGCTGGGACGATGTGCGGTACTGGTGACACGTGGACTGGATCGGGATGTGGATCGTTGTGATCGTACAGAATTTGGTCGGGGTTGTGGATGGTCTAAGAGGGGAACGTGGCAAATATCAGTGTGAAAAAAGAAAACAATAAGAAAACTTGTATTTCACGAAACAAAAATCAAAATTTCCAATTCAATCAGTGCTAAGATTCATGTGCAAATAATTAAAATTTCTTGATTTCAAACCAAAACAACACGTAACGAAACTGTTACGGAAAACGCAATAAAGAGATTGAATATGATTTTGAAATGCTCCATTACTATGATGATATTTATGAAATGAAAGCACAAAAAAGTAAATCATGATTTTGTTGAAAAAAATTGGCATATCCTCTAGATTCATTCACGAATCTGACTGTGAATTACCTTGAACTCTGGGTGCTGTTCACATTTCCGTAGCTCACGGCCATTATTTGATAAAAAAGCCATTAACTAAAGGGACTAGGTGGATCTAATAGCACGTAACCAAGCACATGTTCCATTGTGATTTGTGGGATTCGCGAAACATCTGCATTACTTTATTTTGCTGAAAAGTCTGAAAACTACAGTAATATTGGAGTGCATTGCATATATACAGGTATTGACCAAACTCGTGCAACACCCTGACACTTTCATCACATTTGTTTTTCCCAATGCATAGTTCTTCGAGCCTCATTCACGGGATTGAAGATAATATTGCCCCACATCAGACGCAACATATTCGTAATAATATCCGCCTATGTCTTTGCTTCTGTTAGTTGAACGCCAATAAAATGTATGCTTTCTCGATTTTGACGATGAATGCTGGTGTATCAATTGTAAAATAACAAAGCCACAGTAAAAAACATAACTATAGTTTATTATTCGAAATAACCCATAAACTTCATACAGGTATTGTACTTTCATCTGATCTATATACCCTTCTTCGTTTTTGAGCACTGGAGGCAGTCGCTTCAGCATGGTATCCACCAATTTGATTATCCAACAAAATTTACCAGTTACCTCTAGTACATGCCTCATCCTAACAATTGACGGCCTCTGTAGAGGTGGCTAACTTATCCCTGTTCCTATCACAAGGAAAACGTTTAGATTACATTCAAATCCCAACTGCTGAGCGGTAATTGAGTGAATTCGACATTGGTTTTCATCCATAGGGAAACTGCATAAATTTTAAAAAAATATTTAATGAGGTCGAACCGTTTTCTATTACCAACCACCAGTGAGAAGATATACTAACCTTCAACTGTGAAAAATATGATTTCCGTGAACGCATTTTGGGAGTGACAGTTATCAAAAAACACCTTGTCATTGCAAGAAACTGTGATATTCAGATCGGTATCGGCAGGAGACCAACAACAAGACGCTCAGTATTTGCTTCCGCTCTAACTCGTTAGGCGGGTTGTATACTGACTTCTTTGGTCAGGTCAAAAGAAATTCATTGGAAGACCAGGGCAATAGATTAGCTTTCTCCGCCTACTGAATTACTCGCTAGCCAGCAGTGAGATAAACCCAATGCCAAATGGACGGGCGAAGCGATTTGAATTTGTTGGTAAAATCACTAAGTGCACTGCTTTCTTGGGCGTTCACTAATGGCTTCCTATCAGGTGACCTCAGCTGCATTTCTAATTGAGGCATCATTTTCCAAACGGTAGCGGGAGGTAAAAACGGCTAATCCACCTGAACTGTTCTCCATATTGGTTGTGTGCAACTTTCCTCCGATGTGATCGGTCTTCCCCCTCTTGGTTTATATCTTGACGGAGAAAGTCCATTGATTGTGCAACAAGTTGGGCTTATGTTCACATCAAAGCATTTGCAGTAGTCAAGAACTGAGTCATCGGCTTCAATTATATGCCAAAATCTCTTGCATGTTTCATCTGGTTTGGGCATGGTGACACTACAGGACGCTTACTCAACGAGCCGTACACCTCAAGGTCAACTTTCGAAGGTCAACTCACATGTTTAATGTGTAGTGAAGACACGAGCGCAGCCATTTTGATTTGATTGTGAGTCGTGTGCATGTCTCACTGGACCTTTTGGTTCATGGTTGTTTTTGTATTTTCCCTGTCTTGCACGTTGTTTGAAAGCCCCCTCCACGGAGAACCTACTGTGAGAAGTGTGTTCTACCTGTGCATTGAGAGCGTCAGTGTGTGACCAGGGATCGTGTGACCTTTTGTGAAGACACTACTTGTATAAGAACTAAGACTGCGTTGCCCGGAATCAGTCTGCCAGTGTGTTTCGAGTGGACTCTGAACTGGGGTCGGGTTTGCATACTACACTGGAATATATTTTCAGTTGTATCAGTGTTATGTTATTATTATGTTATTATTATTATTATCAATTTATTAAAGCTAGAATATTCTCATTAATTGGCTTATCTACCATACACTGAATCAAAGGAGATAAGCAATTTAGACTAAGTGTTTTCAGCTTAATAATCACTCTAATGAAATAGGAGTCATTCATTAGAAAGATTGAATTTTCATGATGCTTTGCATAAAAATATTTTCCAAAGCTGAGGTGTAACTTTCGAACTGGTACTAATTTTATCGCCACTCTCAAGGTCACGCAAATTCAAACGGTGATAGAACAGAACTAAGAACACAGAAGTTGGAGATAAAGTCAAGAATAAACACACTTCACCCATAGCCATCAATATATAAGTATGGTATTGCAAACTGAAATGGATTCTCAAAATGAGAGTGATGTTGTACGAGTTTGGTTAACACCTGTACATCATTCTTGGTAGATAAGCTAACAAAGTAACCATTGTTTACACCAAACGATAGCCAACCAGAGTTCAATTCCATTTTCCCGAAGTTGCACTGATGATGTTACCTAACCTGGCTACGAAACGTCAGCGAACAACACTTCCAGGTCGGAGAATACATCAACACCAACATCACTTTGAACATAACTGCAATTAATGAAAGCTGCCTTCTCCAAATCAGTTAAATTATTTATAGTTGAGTTTCACATGACCTGAACCTATTTAGACTCACCAGGCTCAGCTTGTGTCTCTCCGGCACTTAATGGTCGAGACGTCTTTTTCTCTGTGGACAATCGACGAGCTCGAATCGGAGGATTGTAACAGCGTAAACTGCGCAGTTTGGACTCCGCATTGTTCTTCACCGTTCGCGGTGAGAATGGCTTTTCCTTCGTAAATTTGTGCTGATAGCGTTCCAGTACGTCTCCGCTAGAAGAAGCTGGACGTGTGGAATACTAAGGTAGATGATGGGCATACAATTAAAAGACAAATCGGTAGAATTAGTTGTTTATACCCTCTATGTTGTACAAGTGTATTCAATGAATAGCAGCAAAATTTACTAAAGAAACAGTTAAAATTTGGTGTGTACCGCACTTTTCTAGTAAGGCTCTCTCAGAAATAATATTGAAATTATTTTTCCCAAAAAAGTCACGTAAATCAAACATGTTCACACATTATACCATACCAAACATAGGTCTTAAGGCTTTTACTCCATCGTACGGTATATACGCTGACAATAATAATACCAATCTCATCAACAATAGTGAAGTTATATTCAACAAACCCATTAAAAATTGAAGCGAAATACAAAGGATTGTTAGTGGGCGCTCTGCGGATTGTTATTTTTGTACCACGATTTGTTTAGCACACAGCTTAGACTCGCGTGTGTAAAATATAATAGTTCTTGGTGTGTCCACAAGATTCGTACAAATACAGTGCGACTACTTGCTCTTTTCATATCGTTTTGTCTCTCTCATCTATAATATCACATAGCCAAAGTCACCGTTGACCTTCTTCCCGACTGATTTTATAATTTTCCGAGATTCGCACAGCGTGTAATCCCTCACCCCAACACCGGAACGTCTGATCACCGGTTCGTATTGTTTGTGATACTCTTCTTGTTACCTGCTGTC